ATATCCCTAGGATGAACATAACATTAATGATGTTGGTAGCCGTGGGGATGTTGAGCAGTACATCGCCATTTCAAAGGTGAATAATAATAATAACATTATCATATCCATAACAACCCCCTCCCTTACAGGAGCTCAACGCGATGGGCCATCATTGTCGTATCTGCACTCATGATAAGTTCCGAGATATGGTTGAGAGAAAAGGAATAGAGTTCTTCCCAATGGCCCTTGATGCCCCTGGCCATTGGCAACCTGAGGATTTCATGAGGTGAATTCCCCACATACGTTCGCAATTGCTGATCACACTTGCTAACAGGCACGCAGCCGAGAGCCCCTCATGGAGTCCCAAGTTCCTTTTCACTCCCCGGGATATGTGGTACATCCTGCTACATACTCCTGGTATGATGGAATCCTTGAGGGAAATCTTCTTCCCCCCAGGGTGGCAAACCGACAAGGTCGGGGCCTGGGCAGCTGTGAAGAGTAAGCGTATTGCTGGGGACTTGACGGAGCTGTCATGGTCGTAGGTAATCGCGAGGAGCGTTGGGTTACCCATGCTATGATCGCCAATCCGCCATCATATATTCACGTCCATCTGGCTGAGAGACTCGGAGTTCCCCTTCATATGTAGGTTGTGTTGGCTTCCTGATTTGGAAGGGTGGACGGCAATAGTTTCCAACTCGCTACACACACTTCCTATACAAATTCCACGCTGATATTAGCAGTAAGGAGTTGGGGCTGCTGTCACGCTAAATTGGGTTTTCAGATTGCGCGTACTGTACTTGACTTTTCGTTGACTCCCTTTTATCTGCGGCAACTATTTCATCCTTTCTCCATTTGCGCTCATTTTGAGAGTCTTCAAAAGTATCGTTGAGTTCCACTGCAGGTATTTCTCGATGCCCTGGTCCCAGACGAAAGTGTTGGGACATCCTTTCAGCTCGGGTGACATATACGACAATCCTTATTGGCGACTCTTGAGCTACCGCTGGTTTGACCAAGTAAGGATATCGCTCGCGGCGAAATCGAAACTGTTGACTCATTGAATCACCCCCCTTCGAATGTCGGACCAGAGCATAAAGTCTTACAATATCCTTATGCCCAACCAGCGTTAGGAAGGGGGCGGCTACGAACAGTAGTGCATTAGCTTGGTCCGCCAACCACACTGCTTCTGCGTTCTGCTGCTCTCGACAGTGTGGGAATATAGGTTAGGTCTCTTCAACTGAGCTCGTAAGGTTCCTTACTACGTTATGGAAATCCACGCACGATGTTGGGTAGAAGTATACGAAAATCAACGATGATTCCCCGAAGTTTTCTGGGGATTTCGATATCGTTACCAAAACTATGAAAATCCACATATGATTTTGGATAGAAGTAAACAAACGATAATTTCCCAAGAGTTCCATGTTGTTACCAATGCATGTAGTTGACCATGTGCATATACTCTCGCACTGGAAAGTCTTTCTCATAATTACTAACCGAGTGGTATGAACTTCGTATTAGATGCAGTGGAGAGGCCTGGCATCGACAGTGCCCCAGTTCCGACGAGAGGTGTTGAAGATCCCTAGGATAGGCATGTGGCACAGCGCTGGGTCGTTATTGGAGGATTTGGGGGGTAAGCGTCTTCACA